CCACGAAGCTCCCCATGGGGCCACGAAACGCTGTACTGGGTGGTGGATGACGCATGCGGGCGGTCCCACCCCTATGGGGCTACGAAATGCTGTGCATGGTGGTTGATGACGCATGCGGGCGGTCCCACTGGGGCCTGCGGTGGAGCTCCCTATGGGGCCACGAAGCGCTGTACTGGATGGTGGATGACGCATGCGGACGGTCCCACTTGGGCCTCTGGTGGAGCTCCCTACGGAGCCACGAAGCGCTGTACTGGTGGTGGATGACGCATGCGGGCGGTCCCACTGGGGCCTCTGGTGGAGTTCCCCATGGGGCCACGAAGCGCTGTGCTGGGTGGTGGGTGAGGCATGCGGGCGGTCCCACTGGGGCCTTCGGTGGAGCCCCCGATGGGGCCATGAGACGCTGTACTGGGTGGTGGATGACGCATGCGGGCGGTCCCACTGGAGCCTTCGGTGGAGGTCTCTATGAGGCCACGAAGTGCTGTGCTGGGTGGTGGATGACGCATGCGGGCGGTCCCACTGGAGCCTTCGGCGACGATGATGATGATGGTGGTAGGAGGAGGGAGGGAAGGAGGAGGAGGAGGAGGAGGAGGAAGGAAGGAAGGGAGGAGAACGCGGGGCGCCGTCTCTTCAAAACGGAGGAGGAGGAGGACGAGGACGAGGAAGAGGAGGAGGAGGAGGAGGAGAGGAGGAGGGATATGAGGAGGAGGAGGAGGAGGAGGAGGAGGGAGGAGGAGGAGGAGGGAGGAGGAGGAGGGAGGAGGGAGAGAGGAGAGGAGGAGGAGGAGGAGGATTAGCAGGAGGAGGAGAAGGAGGAGGGAGGAGGAAGGATGTGGGATTAGGGAGGAGGAGGAGGAGGGGAGGAGGATGAGGAGGAGGAGGAGGAGAAGGAGGAGAAGGAGGAGGGAGGGGGAGGAGGAGGAGGGAGGAGGAGGAGGGAGGAGGAGGAGGATGAGGAGGAGGAGGAGGAGGAGGAGGAGGGGGGAGAGAGGGAAAGGAGAAGGACGAGCAGCACGAGGATGAGGAGAGGATGAGGATGAGGATGAGGATGAGGAGGAGGAGAGGAGGAGGGAGGAGGAGGAGGAGGAGGCAGGCGCGCGGGGTCGTTTACGGAAGCGGGTTGCCAGGGCGCGCCCGAGTTGGGCGTACTCCGTGGTTCCAGCCTTGGCCCCAGTCGTCGCAGAGCGGAAGATCCTCATCCTCATCTTTCCTCGTCCTGCGCTTCCAGTGGTAGCCGGCATACTTTTTCCCGATCAATCCTCCTTCCTCCCTCCTCCTCTCTCCTCCTCCTCCTCCTCCTCCTCCCTCCCTCCTCCTCCTCTTGTTCCTCCTCCTCCTCCTCCTCCTCGTCCTCCTCCCTCCTCCCTCCTCCCTCCTCGTCCCCCTCCTCCTCCCTCTTCCCTCCTCCGCCTCCTCCCTCCTCGTCCTCCTTCTCCTCCTCCTCCTCCTCTTCCTCCTCCTCCTCCTCTTCCTTCTCCTCCTCCTCCTCCTGCTCCTCCTCCTCCTCTTCCTCCCCCTCGTCCTCGTCCTCCTCGTCCTCCTCGTCCTCGTCATCCTCGTCCTCCTCGGAGGGGTGCGCCCGACCCGAGCATGTCGTACAGCTCATATTGTAGCAGCTCGCTTCCCGAGCGGAGCGGCCAGAAAGCGCCCGCCGCGGAGCGCACACGGGAAGACATCTCGGTGCGCGCGTCGCCCCTCGGAGGGGGGGGGGTGCGACGCATTTTTTTTGTTTCGTCGGCGGCCCCCTCTACGAAAACCTCACCTCGCGGCCCGTCACCGCACGGTCGTGGGACCCGGGAGGCCCCCCGGTCGCCAAGAGGCACCCTCGGAGACGGGCCCCGGCCCCAGGGCCGCGCGGCATCCTCGCCCGACCACGCGACGTGGTCACCGCAATGCCTGGGGGCCTCCGACCGCCCACGGCCAACTCGGGGGCCCGCAGCAGGGGGCGGGGGGCGGGGGGAAGGCTTCCCAGAGGTGGGCTGCGTCTTGGCAGGGCTCGAGCCAACCAGTGCCTTTCGTTTTCCGCTGGGCTCGCGGTGCTCCTCGCTCGGCCCCCTTCGCCCCACCTGCTGCTCTTACACAACGAACTCACAACGAAGACGGCTGGCGGAGTGGCCAGAACACCGTTTAGCCCGAGCCCTGCTTCTTAGAAGGCGCCTGCCCTACATCCATCTGCAGACAAGGCCCGCGCCCTCTGAGAGACAGGGGTGCTTCTGAGAAGGCCGGCCCCCCTCCCCCCATCCCCCCCCCCTCTGCGCGTGGCCGGCCCTGCCTCCAGGACACGTGCTTTCTCCAGGGCGGCAGATGCCCGGCCCCCCAGCCCCGGTCCACGCAACTGGCCCCCGGGGGCCGACAAGCGCTGAGCTGGGCAACGCGCCACGACCACCAGACACAGGGCCGAAACCTGTGGGAAGGACGGGCGGCAAGGACGCCAGGGCCTTGGACGCCGAAGCTGGCACTTCTGGGGCGGCGGGCCGCCAACACCCTGAAGGGCGGGCTCGCCAGTGAAGATGGGGAAGGATGTTCGGGAGGCCCGCGCGCATCTCTTGGATCGGCTCTAGAGCCCCACGGCGCGCTCCGCGCGCCAGGGAGGGGAATTCGGCGCCGATCCAAGGCATCCGCGCGGACCTCCAGTAGCTGATACTTCGACTGAGCAAGGGAAAGGCAATGGGGAGAGCAACCTACCTTGAGGACAGCCGTGCGTTCTCACTGCGAGTTGTCACTGAAATCGCGGCGAATCCGAAGGACCGCCAAGCTTAGAGGCCTCCTAGATGGGGTCGGAGTAGATGGGGTCGGAGGATCGCGCTGCATCGCCGATGCATCAGCGATACATCGTCGATGCATCGCCGATGCATCAGCGATACATCGGCGACGTCGGCGATGCTTCGGCGCCATCGGCGTGGGGGAAGTCGGGCTCTTCATCGAGACGCAATTGGCAATGCATCGGCAATGCGGCGCGATCCTCCGACCCCATCTGCTCGGACCCCGTCTGGGAGGCTCAGAATAAGGTCAGGCATGTCCTCCTACTGGTGGATGTTGGACAAAACATGTTCAAATAATACCCAACTATAGTCAAACATAGTCGAACAATCGTCCCCATACTTGTTTTTTTGACTATTTTCGAACACTCCACCTGTAGAAGGACATACCCGACTCAAGGGAAAGCTTCTCAGAAGTGGGCTGCGTCTTGGCAGGGCTCGAGCCAAACCGTGCCTTTCGTTTTCCGCTCTGCTTGCGGTGCTCCTCGCTCTGCCCCTTCGCCCCACCTTTTGCTCTACACAACGAACTCAAAACGAAGACGGCTGGCGCCCTCCTACTATACATAGCCCAAACACGGTTCAGCCCGAGCGCTGGTTCTCAGAAGCGACATTTTTTCCCCAATCGATGCTTGCACTGAAGGGGCCCTAGAGGACATTGAAACATTTGGCGAACATTTCCCGCCGACTTTGGTGGCCGGCTGGGTTCCCAGGTTCCCAATTCTGGTTTCCTGGGTTCCCAAGTTATTGGTTCCGGGCCGATTTCGGTGGGTTCCAGGTTCCCGCCTCCTCCTCCTCCTCCTCCTCCTCCTCGCGGGGGGGCGCTGGGCAGCGTTTGGAAAAAGAAAAGGCGGCGTAAAATAAACTTTTGGCGCTCCGTGCGGATTTCTTGGATGTGCGCTGGACCCCCCTTCCCCAGCGCGCGGAGCGCGGCGCCGCCAGGGAGCCCAGCGCGGATCCAAGAAGTCCGCGCGGAACACTAAAAGTTCATTATACGCCTCTTTTTCTTCTTTGAGCATCGGGATCGGTCAGCATCGGATCGGGAGATCGCGTCGAATCGAAAAGGGGCGTCGGGTCGAGCCGCAACAACACAGGGGCCGAGGCCGAGTCGGCCTCCGCCGCGCCAGGAGGCACCGCAAAGCGCCACATACGAGCACCGGGCCGCATCGGGCCGTCGGCAGATTGGAATCGCATCGGATCGGGCCTGGCGACGTCGAAATGTACGCATGTGGGGTGCGGTGCCAATGCCAAATCTACGATAGCCGCAAATGCGATGCAACCCGATTTCAACAATTTTGGCTCCGCGTCGGCCGCCTCAAACCCGGTATCCCTCACGACCTGGTCCTGGAGCCCCGGGCCTTCCCCGAGAACGATTTCGTCCTCCCGAATCGTTTTCTGTAGGCCCCGAGGCTCGTGGAGGCCCCGCGAGCCCTAAAACGGCGAAAAGAGGGGGAGGACGACAAGGAGGAAAAGGAGGAGGAGGAGGACGAGGAGGAGGAGGAGGAGGAGGAGGAGGAGGAGGAAGAGGAGGAGGAGGAGGGAGGACGAGGAGGAGGAGGAGAAGAGGAGGAAGAGGAGGAGGAGGAGAAGGAGGAGGAGGAGGGGGCGAGGGGGGAAGGAGGAAGAGGAGGAGGAGGAGGGGAGAGGAGGAGGAGGAAGAGAAGGATGATGAGGGAGGAGGAGGAGGAAGAGGAGGGGAGGAGGAGGAGGAGGAGGAAGAGGAGGAAAAAGGAGGAGGAGGAGGAGGAGGAGGAGGAGGAGGAGGAGGAGGGGGAGCAGGAGGGGGAGGACGAGGAGGAGGAAGAGGATGGGGGGAGGAATGAGGAGGGAGGAGGAGGAGCAGGAGGGGAGATGAGGAGGAAGGGGAGCAGGAGGGGGAGGAGGAGGAGGAGGAGGAGGAGGAGGAGGAGGGAGGAGGAGGAGGGAGGGGGAGGATATGAGGACGAGGCGGAGGAGAAGGAAGAGGAGGCGGAGGAGGAGGAGGGGGAGAGGTAGGGGGAGGAGGAGGAGGAGGAAGAGGAGGAGGCGGAGGAGGAGGAGGAGAAGTTGCCACAGCACGGGGGGCCGGTGGCATTACGTACATGTGCCCAGCAGGGTGCGAAAACGAACAAGAGCAAAAAGACACACAACCAGACCTGAAACATGAGGAGGAACAGGAAAATGTACGGGGAAACTTGGGCACATGAAGATAACGGAAAGATCGCTGCGCCCCAGCTGAGGTAGAGAGCGCCAACGTCCCCTCCCGACGTGGGAGATGAGAACGTCGATCCCGACGGTTGTCGAACCATGCGGCTGGGCGGTCAGCTGGACCTTCTCTTCCGCAACCCACCCTCCGTCTTGCTCTGACTTCCCTCCTCCTATTCCACCAGACATCAATATGGCCCTGCTGGACTCTCCTCTTTTTTACGGTCCGATCGCATCGCATTTACATCCTCATCCTGCTCCTCCTTTTCCTCCTCCTCGTCAGCATCTGCATCATAATCACCGTCTTCTTCCAAACCATCATCATCCACACAATCATCATCCACATCATCATCCCCGGCCTCCTCCTGTTCATCAACATCACCATTCTCAAGATCATCACGATTACCATCGCGATCGCGATCACCATAAACAATATTATCCGTTTCATCACCACCATCACCATCAGTATCATAATCACCAGAAGCATCACCATCATCGGCATCAGCATCATCATCATAATCATAATCGTCATCGTCATCGCCATCGTCGTCGAAACCATCAGCAGCATCACCACCATCCGCATCATCACCACCAACATAAGCATCATCATTCTCGTCGTCCTCATCGACAACGACATCGTCGTCGTCAGCGTCGTCGTCAGCATCACCCAACAACTTGCACTGCGTTTGTCTCACAACCCTTGTGCGGGAGCCGCGAGGATCCAACAGCGCCAAACCAATCCCGCCAGTTGTATCGACCTCCACCTCGGCGGGTCCAGCTGCGATCCCCTTATCGCACGGTTGTTTTCTCGTGCACACATCTCCCCAGACCCTTCCACACGATCACCATGGCTGTCCATATGCTGTCCTTCCCAACAGATCGGCCAGGCCGCTCTGCGAATCGAGTGGGGGGACGAATCGAACCACTCATCCGCGGAAGAAAGAGTTCGTCGGTCGATGCGCCTGAGGGAGAGCAGTCGCGAGGGAAAGCTGACGACACGCTGCCGGATGGAGGTTGAGGGCGGGGATGGAGGAGGAGGAGGCGGAGGAGGAGGAGGAACAATGAACTATGAGCAGTGCGAAAGGAGGCATGCTCAATCTCGTTCCAATAAACACGGGAAGATCTCTGCGCAACCCGACTTACACTGCGGGTTAAATGTGTGAAAGACGGGTGGACCCCGCTGGCGGGACCAGCGTTGCCCCCGAACGGTGGCGAGCTCCCATGGCGCCACGCAGGCGCACTGAGGAGAACCACCTAAGGGACCGACTGGTGGCGAGGTCCTCGGCGATTGTTGTTGCCTTTCGACCCCCGTGGGACCCGTTTGGGGGCCACCCCGACTGGAATGAGGGGAAGACTTGGGTTGGCGTACGTCTTGGAGCTAGATGATCCAAACGGGTCGGGGATGATTCCTCGGGCCACTAAACTGGCCAAGCGTTTCCTACCCGAGAAAGCCAAGTTCGTGCTGCTACCCCTCATATATATATATATATATATATATATATATATATATACCTCAGCCTCTGCTCCTACTCCTATCCCTTTCCTCACTTACTTGGTCAGGATGCTTTGTCCGCAGTTTTCGTTGACTCATTTCTTCTCGATCAAGTCCAAGAGGCGGACCGCTTTGCGCTCGAGAAGACCCCTCGGGGCAGGACCCACCAACTGCGCCGCCTGGGCGATTTCGTGGTTGGGGTACCAGATGAGGATTGCCCGAGCCATCGAGCCCGCCGCGTCGTAAGTGACGGCTAACGTTAGGCGGCCCTTCTTGCTGTTGCTGCTGGCTGCTGCTGCTGCTGCTGCTTGCTGCTGCTCCCTGGCTGCTGGCTGCAGCGCTGTCCGCCTCCGCGTTCTCCTTGCCCCTGTACTTCCGATAGCGGAAGTGGAGCACATGCTTGCCCACCGTCGTCGGCTCCGAAGCCTGGACGTACTTCGTGAAGTACTCGTGGAATTTCAGTGTCCCGCCCTCGATGTACTCTGGTTTGCCGTCCAGGAAGACCACCGCGTTGTTGATGAGGAAGGGCGAAGCGGTGGCCCACATCTGGACGTGTGGGGCCCAAGACTCAGCAACGATACTGGGAAGCTCCGTCTTCACAGGCCCATACAAGGATTCAGTTCCAATGAAGGCACTGCCCCGTTGGGAGACATACGCTCGAAGATCCTGAAGCGCGCCAAAACACCATTCTCGGGACTCTGACGCCACGAATCAACCGACAGTTGCGTCTTGACGGCCCTGAATCGTGCCACAACGCCATTCTCGGGACTTCAGCACCACGAATCCACCAACTTGTTGCGCCCGGACAATCCTGAATCGCTCCAGAGCGCGATTTTCACAGTGGAAACCCGTGAAAACCATGCAACTGTTTAAGACGAGTGTGTGCGGCACTAGAGAGAGAACCACATATTAGAAAGAGCCGCTTCCAATCAAGGAAACCCTGGCAGTGTCCAAACCGAACATGCACGGCGTTAAATCGAAAACCACAGTTTGGAAAGGAACCGCCCTCAATATGCGACGCTCTTGCAATTTTTTGAAGCGAGTGTGCGCGGCGCTGAAGCGAGAACCCCATTTTCAACACGGCCCGCCCTCAATCCGTCAAACTCTTGAAGCTTATTACAACATGTTCGCGGTACCACACTTTGAAAATCACCCGCCATCTGTGAAGCTGTTGCCAATTCGGAAACTTCAAGATCACCTATGGTAAAGGCGGCTCAAACAAAACCCCTGGGCCGCCCTTCCGACAGGGTTCCGGGTGTGGCAAAAGCTGATTTGTTGCAAGGAAAAGGAATTGAGGAGGAGGACGACGACGAGGAGGCGGACCAGAGTAAGCCCAACATGCGTCAACGTCGCTGCAAAATCCCCCCCCCCGTCCAAAGCCCCCTCCTCGTGCGATCCTGCGAATTGATTCCCGCTACAAGAAGCGCCCCCTTTGAAAGACCAACACGGACCGCCCCCCCCTATCCGTGCAATTGCTGCGCCAGTGTGCACTTGCGGCCATGACCTCCGAGGAGGTCTCATACGAGAGATTTATTTTGAAAAGGGGCCGCCCTCGATCTGTGCAGCGCTAGCTTCAAATTCGTGAAGTCGAAGAAATATCCAACGATAGCCCAATGCTGAAGAAAAGCCGCCACCCGTCATCCTAAATGCTGCAAGCCTTTAAATGCGCGCTGCGCTAAGGCGAGAGCCATATTTACAACGGCAGATGCTCCATCATCCCTGTGGCTGATGCAAACGATGTAACGACTGTGCCCTCATCAATCCTTGAAATTGCTGCACAATGTTGTAACGAATGTGGCCGGCGCTGAGGCAGGAGGTCGGTTTTGACATGTCCCCATTCCATCCTCGAAGCCGCTGAATACTGTTAAAACGAATGTGCCTGGCGCTAGGGCGAGAACCTACTGTACACAACGACATGTATGCCGTCCGTGTAGCTGTTCCGAACGCTTATACACATGTGCGCGGCACACATGCGAGAACACCAGTTTGAAACGCCCCCATGGATCCTTGAAGCTTTTGCAAGCAACCATACAGGATGTTTGCGGCGCTGAGGCGAGAGGCCCACTTTGAAAAGACTCCCTCCATACTTAAGGCTGATGCAGACTGTAAAGCGAATGCGCGCGGCGCTAAGGCGAGAACCCCACTTTAAGACCTGCCCTCCATCAATCCTTGAAGCTTTTGCACAATCGAATTACGAATGCGTGCGGCGCGGAGGCGAGAGGCCCATTTTGAAACGATCCCGGCCATCCTTGCAGCGGCCACAACACGTTCAAACGAAGTTGCGCGTCGCTAAGGCGAGAACCCCACGTCGAGAACGGCCCCCATTCATCCTTAAGGCCGTTGCAACCTTTCATGTCGAATGCGCGTTGCGCTGGGGCGAGAGGCCACCTCTGAAACGACCCCCTCTATCCTTAAAGCCGCTGCACCATGATAAAACGAATTCGCGCGGCGCTACAATAACCAAATTTGCAAACTGTCCTCCCTCAACCCTTGACGCTGTTGCAACTGTTTCCAAATAGTGTGCGCAGCGCTATAGCAAAGGCTCTACTTTGAAAACGGCCCGCCCTCCATCCTTGGCGCCGAGGCGAGAAATACGTGTTTGAAGCTTCAAGCTTTAAGCTCAAGGATGACACATCAATGGCGCGGCAATCTCAAGCGAAACGCCTGGCCCGCCCTGCCGACACGCCTGGAGGCGCGACGGGAAGGGGAAGGAGGAAAAGGGAGGGAGGAGGGGAGGTGGGGGAAGGAGGAGGGGGAGGTGGGGGAGGTGGAGGAGGAGGAAGGGCGAGGCCGCAGGATAGAGGAGGGCAAGGAGGAGGAGAATGGGGGAGGAGGGCCCGGTGTGCCCTGCCCGCGGGCCGACCCGCGAGGAGTCGCAGCTGCGCGGGCTGTCCAGCTCGGTGCCCCTCAGAGGGAGGGCGGGAGGGGGGCGACGACGACGACGACGACGACGCCGACGTCACCTTGGATGCGACCTGGGCGGTCCACAGGAGGACCGCGGAGCTGGAACGGGGAGGGGGGGCTAGATTCAACTAGGGTCGGCGGCGAGCGAGGGGGGACGTGAGAAGGAGGAGGATTTCTCAGAAGGCGGCAAGGCTTCTCAGAAGCCCTCCGGCCTTCTGAGAAGTCTTCTGTGTCTCCGGGGAATGCTTTGAAACCTCTCAGAAGGCCCGAACATGTCCAAAACTTCTGAGAAGGCCCGCCCCACCCCACTTCCCTCTTGGGCTCGCCGCCGATAGGGGCTGGTTTGCGACAACCCCTGGGATACACAACCTTTGGGAGATGAGCCCGCGTGCTCGTACCTGATGTGAGAAGTGCACTGTGTCGGCTCAAGGCTGTCGGTCTTACGCCCCGATGGCTGATAGCGTAAACATACAGTCTCTGTTGTTGCGTTCGTGCATCTGCGGCGCGACGTCAGGTCGCCTGAGTCGCAATAACACGCGCAACATCGACCAAACGGGTCCGATGGGGGGAAGGAAAATGAAAATGAGGAGGGAGGGAACTGGCGAAGAGGGGCTTCTGCCCTCCCCTGCTCGACATGTGAGTCTTCCCAGGGAACTAGGCCAGAGGTGTCGCCATTGCTTGGGGTGTCAATGATCGCCCGAGGCAGCCGTAAGGTTGACCCTGCTAGCCC